AATATACATGGCAGACACTTGTTAGAGAAGAGACTTTAAGGTGGTATTTTGCTCAGCTGAATAAAAAGGTTTTTTTTATAATAACAAACACAAGTGCAAATGAGCACAGCGGAATCTTACATCTTCAGTCTAATGTGTGATGGTGAAGATGAGGTTTATCATGAAATGTCATTTGAGAAAGTGTGCCATTGCCCCTCTAAGTCGCTCAATCAGGATTTCTTCAACATGTGTGGATTATTCTTACACTGTGTTTATATATATAGAGAGAAGAAGGTTGGTAGTTAGTAATGCTTTGTTAGTCATTTTTTGGGGGTAGTAATATGGTATAGCTTTATTCCCACTCCTTTTATGTCTTTGGTATATGTTTTGGATGTCTGTCCTTTCATGTCTTTACAATGACATGGTTTTAAGCATAGACCTCCTCTGGCAACACTTGTTCTAGTAGAGCTGCTTGCCCATTTTTGCTCTCTTCTGTTCAGTTTCTACTTCTACAAACACATCAGTGCTCATGATGTTGAGTTCAGGTGTGATTGTTCCACTGTACAGGATGATGAAAAGAATTTGTTGTAAAAATCTTTGTAGATTTTTTAAATCTTTCATCTATTTGTTGTTCTCCTTCTAGCTTAATCTTTTGGTGCCTTTGGGATGAATTTTCTTAATAGATCCCCTTCCAAACTTTTAAACTTTTTTTTAAAAAAATTGGCTCTCTTTTATGAGACAATACTGTTCATAATCTTTTTCTGTGTGTGTGTGTGTGTGTGTGTGTGTATGTATGTGTTTATAGTTATCCATGTCATTGTCAATTGATGTACCTACCCAAAGTACTATACATAGGAATATCTTCCTGTAAGTCTTTTATTATTTTAATATCAATGTATTACTTAGGATGTCATAGTTTCTCTTATTTTTACTCCATGATCAACCCACCTCTTTTTCCAGTCTTGGTGCCCCTTCATTACTTCTTGTGCACAATTTACCATTAATAATTTGCTGCAGCTTAGTTACATTTAGTATATTTCCATTTTTTCGGGGGTCATCAGAAATTTTAATTCTTCTGAGTTCGTGCTGTGCCGTGATTTCCAATAATGTAGTGTCATTGAAGAATATTTGTTTTTGTTAGATTTTTAATGACATTAAACTTCTTGGGAGCATTGAAAACACTGAATTATTTCCTAAATGTGATCCATCCCAAATCTCTTTTAAATCTGGCCCTACTTCATTGTCCATTTATAGTATTTCCATTCCCTTCTATTCCCTTCTTTTTTCCCCCTTCCCTTTCTCTTCTCTTCTCTTTCTCTATCAGTCTATCTATGTATCTACCTAGCCTATCTGTCTCTCATACTGATGCAGTTGGCTCTACTCATCCATCTGCTTGTCATAAACTGAACAAGGTGCATTTTATGTCCACTTTATTTTTCCAATGTGGATGGTTAAGTTGATTTTTTAGAAATGATGGTTTTCGCTGAAGAGATTTTGTAATATCTTGGCTATTATAGTATAATTAGTTATTACCTGGGACAAGAACATTTGGAGAACCTTGTTATTGATTCATAGGGAATTCTTCTTCTGTTTAGACCTTGCTTAGGATGTCCTCATTACACAAGTAGCACCTTAGTTGAACTTGTCTTTCTTTGCAAAAATTTAGTTTATTGTCAGTTCTCAGATTTTTGAACAGTTATCTTTATGGTTACATCTGTCACATTTTTTTGTATGATTTTAACGTAAAATTGGATAGCATCAGGAGTTGGAAGAGAAGTGGGCTAAAACTGTGGGCCTTCACAAGGTAAAGTAAAAGCTTACTTATAGGACCCAGGTGATCAAGGGGCAGAGGCCAAAGTTGCAGTGATAGGAAGAGGAGAAGGGATGGCTTCCAACAGAAAGCAAGATGTGTTCTTGTGAGAATATTTTCCTTCATCTTCTGAAGTGGATATTGGTGAACAAGCTACAGTTATCTTCACATTCAATTAACATTGAAAATGTTAAATTCTTTAAAAAATCTGTTCATCAGATTTATTACTATGTTGCTATAAGAGAATCTGGCTGGGTAATGCCTGTTTTAAAAAGCAAAGTAGCTGACACTTTAATGCTTACATTTTTATATACTAAACAAGACAGCATAGATTCTTGGTGATATATTTGGATGACAAAAAGTGAATTAAAAGGTTTTCAGGGACTAGTGATAAAAGATGATCAACATTTTCACCCCTTTGTGGTATCATTCTTTGACCTTCAGACAAAGCTTTCTTGGTATTAAATTGACTATCGTGAAACAGGTATAGTAGAAAGATGATACTTCCCAGTTAAGTGGTCCTTTAATAAAATACTCTGTTGCTTGCCCATTATTTGTCATTTTCTATCCTTTGCTTAGAAGTGAAAATTTTAAATTCTTAAATAGGTCTATCTGAAGTCTATAAAATGGGTGTTAATATCAACTCTGAAAAAAATTAGCTATAAATACCAGGATGAGTATCAGTAGGAAAGTGTGACATCAGTGTGAATTATTTTATTCAGCATTACAGCTTTAGAGCTGGAAGGGACTTAATGGCCATTAAGTTCCAACACCCTCCTTTTACACATGAGGAAACTGAGGCCCAGAGAGTTCTCCAAAGCCTTACAAATAGTAGGTGACAGAAGAGATTTGAGCCCAAGTCCTCTGATTCTAAATCCAGTGCTTCAAGGCCTCTCACCCTTGTCATTTTAGCAGGGCATCCCACCTGGGGAAGCCTTTGTCAGAGCTTATTACACTATTTCATTTTAAAATCACCCCAATTGATGAATATGCAGTAGAAGAGTCTTCTAGGTTTAGAACAGCTTGCATTCTTTGCAACTGTGTAAGGATTCTTTAAACTGCCATTTTGCTGTTTCAATTAAAGGGATGCTTTATCTAAAAGCCAAGAGAAACATTTAAATGATATTTAAGTACTCCTCTATTCTTACCTCCCAAGTGAAAAAAAACCCCAACAAAAAACAAAAACCAAAACTACACACAAGAATCCAAAGGAATGGATTAATGACCATGGATTATTTTGTCTTTAGTTTCTTCAAAGAACTAAAGGAATGTTTCCAACAGTAGATGTTTTCTGTTACATATTAGAGTGGGTATCCATCCATAAGTAGCCTCCACAGTTCTCTCCTTTCCCACAGCATTAGGATTTCAAAACCCCAGAGGGATTTTCAAACCCCAGAGAGGAGGTGGGAATGTGGTTTGCACATTGAAGAAATACATAGTTCAACCAGGACAGAGTTGGGAACTGAACTTAATTTCTGAATAAGCCTATGCTTTGTGAGAAGTAAAAGACAAGAGAGAATACTCATGAGCTTCTCATCTAATAATTAAACAAAATAAACTTTTATTGCACACTCACTACGTATAAGGCACAGGGGTTGAAAAAAACAGTTGTGATTGGACTATTGTTTTTAACCTGAAGGAGGTCATTATGTCCAGCTGCTGCATTTTGTGTATGAGGAAGCTAAGACTCAATGAGGTGAGATGACATTGCCATGGTTGAACATGTAGTCAATGGCAGAGGTAGGATTCAAACCCAGTTCTTCAGACTAAAGCTAGTTCTATTTCCACTGTGATGTAGGTGGGGTTGGGGGGTGAGGGTGTAGCTGAGGAAGGGAAACATAAATAACTACTATAAAGGGAGAATATGGTATATGCAAGGGAGAGAGCCAGTCAAAAAGCTATGATAATATGAGGGGGGGAAGGAGAGAATAGTGTGTGTGTGTGTGTGTGTGTGTGTGTGTGTGTGTGTGTGTGTGTGTGTGTGTGTGTATGGGATGGGCAGGAAATGCCATAAAGCAGTTCCGTATGTGAATTGGGCCTTGAAGGAAGATTGGGGGCCTAAGACACAAACCAGTTGCATTTATTCCATGAACAATATCATGGGTATCACCTGTTGGAAGAAGGAATGGTGAAAGAAGGGGATTAAGCACTTCTTAATAAGTAGAAAATGTGCTCTCTTCAGTCTACAATATCTGATACTTTTAGGAGGTTAGCAAATATTTTGTTCCTTCTGCTTACCACTTCCCTTAATCTAACCTCCATAACTATGTCTATACTTTTCCCCCCATCATTTACCTTTTCAGTTGCCTGCAAAATTATGTACTTATAGAACCAATAACACTTGGTAAAGATAATCTTAAAGATGCACAATTTATGGCAGAGCTTACTATCCTTTTTAATATGAAATTCTCATTTTAACTATGATGGACTCCCACATGATAGTATTTGCACCATCCAATGTGGTATAAAAGAAACAATGCTGAATTTGGAGTCAATGGATATGCGTTTAAATTCTACCTATAATATTTCTTACCTCTGTGACCTTGGACACATAAGTAGTAAAAGAATTTAATCTCTGGACCTCCATTTCCATATCTGTGAAATGAAGTGATTGGATTAGATGACTTCTCATATCTCTTCTATCTCTAATTCAGTAATACCTTTAATTTGTTTGTTAATAATAACATTTATATACAATTGAAAATAGAAATTGTTCTATTTTAAAAGAGCAGATATGTTTATTATACTGAGATTATTTGTAAAAAAAAATTAACAAGTAAATAAAATAACCATTAACCAAAACAAATAACTAAATAAACCTATAAAAATGAGGAATCAAAAACTTATACAAATTCTTAGCATTTAAAGTAGAAGTAACTGAATCAATAAACAGCAAAAAAGCCAAAAATATTGTCATTCTATATCTCTTTGCAGGTCTGTCTAAAGTTTTCTTTCCTTGTTTTTGTTTTCTTTTTATAAAGTGATTGTAGTAAATGTTATCTAGAGACATTTAGTGAGTCATTTAATGAGTCACTACTGAGTCATTTAATGTGCTGGACTTCTTGTCATATCTCTGTATCCCATAGAAGTTCATGAACCATGGCTTGTGAATGACTAGTTTACAAGGTATAGACATGAAAATATTTTTAAATTATATTGCTATTTCAAGAATGTTTAAAATAGATTGATTCACTCTCATTTTCTTTTTAAGCTGCAGCATCTCCAAAATTGCAAAAACTAGGACCGGTGGAGCTGACCATAATTATTACCATACCAGTTTGCCTTTTGTCCATAGCTGCAGTGTTGACTATATGTACCTGTCAAAGACGTCAGTGCACTTATAAAAAGAAAAAGAGGCAAAATGTGGAAGAACCACTAAATGAATGCAACTTAGTAAATGCTGGCAAAACTCTTAAAGATCTTATTTATGATATGACTACATCTGGGTCTGGATCTGGTATGTACTCGTTACTCATTTCTAAGTAAAACTCAGAAGCAAAATGCTTCCCCCTAATGCTAGGGAATAACTATTTCTCTCCTTTGTTTCCAATATCTCTGCCATAGCATTGATGATATGGTTAGGAACCAAGTTTGCGTCTCATCACCACTTCACTGAATATTTAATCTCTTTTCCACATGGTAGCCTTCAAATATTTGAAGATGACTATTCTGTCTCTCCTTGCCTAGAATCCTTTATGCTATGGCATAGCCTCTTCCCTTTTGATTGTTCCAGGACATTTACTTAAAATAAACTAGTAATTATATCAGGAATTTGAAGACTTTTTGGTATAATTTCAAACAAATTTTTGTAGCAATGGTAAGTATGGTGGGTTAGTGGCTATGGACTTGACAAAAAGATTAATGTATTGCTTGTAAAAGATGAGAGAGAATATGTTAGTGGGTGCCAAGTCATCCACTAAGAAAACACATAAGAGCAGAGATGCAAAAGTGGGTAACCTCTTCCTTGCTCCTACCATTTGTAATTGTAGCCTTGAACTTAAATTTGCTTCTTTATGCTATTGATATTAAATATACTTGGGCTTGTACTCACTCCTTTGTTCCACCTGCTGTTGGGAGCAGATGTCAGAGAGATCAGCTCTACCAATGGAAGGAAAGGGAATTTGACTGTTCTTATCGGCTGCCATGAGAATTGGTTTGTCTTTTTAGAGGAGTTCTTAGTCTTTTTTGTGTTACTCCTTTGGACCCCACCTCAGGTTAATGTCTTTAAATGCAAAAAACCCATGTGATTACAAAGCAACAATTTATATTGAAATAATTATCAAAATATTATTTGAAAAATTTCCCATAACCCAGTTTAAGAACCCTTGTAATCTCAATACTTCTGAGAGGCCTATAGGCAATTGCTTTCTAAGATTTTCCTGCTTCTTTTCTCTAAGAGGTGATTTGTCTTTCTAAAGGCTTCTAAATCATCTAGAAGTGGTGGCAGCTTTTCCATCTTATGACATCATGGTGCAGAAGTATCAGGTGTAGATTTTTTTAACTATCAGGCAGGAAGCACTCAGCTTCTGTAACCATCCACAGAAAGTGCATCTGCAGAAATCTTATAGTCCAAAAAGCAGAAGCAAAGTCCATTTCTTTTTAGTAATATCTTTTTAGTAAAATCTCTTAAGGTTTTTTTTTTATACAAGGACTATTTGTTTATTTTTGTGGTCACTCTTTCAAAAAAAAAAACCTGACCTCTTTACTAAGCATTGCTATCTCTACTTACTGGTTGAATATACCGGGTAATATTGTCCTGCAATTCTTTTTAGTAGTTACACATACTTTCTTAAACTGATGGGGGTGGAAATGGGAGGAAGAGGACAGGAAGCTAGCTGTCTTAGTAAATTAGGGCATTGCACCTAAAGTTTGCAACTAATTTTTAAGGTTATTTCCTATAAGGCTTATATGTTTTAGTGAGCCATAAAATAAAAATATAGGCTATTCCACCATGTTAGTCATTTTGAGGTTGATTTTCCTCAATTATCTAAATGAGAAATTATGTATTATTTGTTAATGCAATGTTACTAACATAAATTTGTTAAGTGCCTACTAGGTACAAGGCACTGTCCTTATGCAAAGACAAAAATGAAATTATGCCTTCCCTCAAAGATCTTGTTTGGAGAATAAAATATGTACAGAGATACATACAAGATAATTTGAGTGAGACAAAATGCTACAACTAGGGGCATTAGGAAAGACTTCCTACAAGAGCTGATGGTAGCTCAAATTCAGTCTCAGATTCTTATTGACTGTATAACCTTGGACAATTCACTTAACTTCTTTCTGCCTCAATTTCTTCATCTATAAACTGAGAGTGATAAATGCACTACCTTCCAGGACTGTGAGAATAAAAGAAGATAATATTTGTAAAGTACTTTGCAAATCTAAAAGCACTATATGAATGCTGATGGTTGTTATTGTTAATAACTTATTTGTGTATTTGACTGGGTCTTCAGGGGTAAGGATAAGGATGGTTTGTTAGAAAGGACTATGATGTGATTTAAAAAAAATAATCTTGATTCACTATTGGAAATCATTCCTATTGGTTTAGTAATTTTAAAGACATTATCTCTCCAATGAACTATATTAATCATTTAGAACCAGATTAGCTGACTTTATAGACTGTATTTACCTGGTATAGACACAAGAGATCTGTAATATAAAGATCAGATACAGGGGAATATTTGAGTCAGAGTGGCAAGGGCCAGGGATCTTTTACATCTGGTGGAGATGTGAGGCTGGTATTGGCAAGTGCTGTCCCCATTCTATCATCAAAATTCACATAAATTCAATATGTAAAATTTCCAAGAATAAATCATTCTATGTACCTTCAGTACAGAAGAAATTCCCTTGGACTCCATCCAAAGTTTGTACTCTGCTGTTAGTTTGAAGTGGTAACCTGATTTGAATATTGCATTTTGCCCTTCATCTTCTAAGATTTGTAATAATATTATTTTGGTTTCCAAGACCTCACAATGTACTCTTTCAACAACTCTTACTGTGTGATGCATGTAAGCATGGCATTTTAAAAGAGAAGATTTATCAGGATGGTGATTAATCATCAATCCATGTTATATGAGGTTAGGTTAAAGGAATTAAGTGTGTTTAGTTTGGAGACAAGAAGACTCAGGGAATACCACAGCTGTGCTCAAGTATCGAAAGGACTGTCACATGAAAAGAATTAGACCTGTTCCACTTGACACCATAAGACATAACTAAGCTCAATGGATGGACATTACACACAGGCTCAATGTCAGTTAGACCTGTCCTAACTTGAATGGGCTCCCTTGGAAAGCAGTGGGTTTCTCCTGGGCGCTGTCAAGCCGAGATCGGGTGAACTTGTTGGGTATGGTGTGGTGGGCATTTCTTTTTTGCATATGGATTAGACTCAAGATGACTTCTGATATTCCTTTCAACTCTTGTTATTAGTAAAGTGACCCATTTTCACTTTTGGGTTGCTTCTCTTGACTAGGTAAGATAGGTAATAGAGGAGAGGTGGACATCATTTTAAGTAGGCTAGCAGAAAGACTCTTTCGCTTAAAAGGTGGGGGAAGAACACTTAAAGTTAAGTTCTATGGAAGAGAAATATTCAATTTTGAGTACATAAAAAGCAATCTGTGTTTGATGCTTTGGGATTGTTTTTAAGTACACTTTGACATTGAATTAAAATAGTGTATTTAATGTTGGGCATAATAATTATAATAATTTAAGTTATTAAATTTTTAAATATGATTTTATTTTTTCATGCTAAAATGATAATTATGATGTTTATTTTAGATCTTCTAATGTATATTTATTTTAACCAAAAACTCCAACTCTTTCTTGTTTAGGTTTACCTCTATTGGTCCAGAGAACAATTGCAAGGACAATTGTACTTCAGGAAATAGTAGGAAAAGGTAGATTTGGTGAAGTATGGCATGGCAGGTGGTGTGGGGAAGATGTGGCTGTGAAAATATTTTCCTCAAGAGATGAAAGGTCTTGGTTTCGTGAGGCAGAAATCTACCAAACAGTTATGCTACGACATGAAAACATCCTTGGCTTCATTGCTGCTGATAACAAAGGTATTCCTAGCCAAGTTTCATATTTTATGTAAATATATTTAGTGTATTTTCTGGTGAAAGCAAGCACATTTTTAATGCAATGGAAAAGTGTTCAATTTTTTCATATAGGTGTGATGAAAGAAAAATTACATTTTTTTCCTATAGCAAAGAGATAATATTTGATAGCAATATAATAAACTTAAGTCAAATGTAGTTGAGTGAACTCATTTTGACAGTAATAATATTGCACTTTGTACTTATAGAACATCTTTTATCTAGTGAACCTGGAGAATTTAATAAAAATTAACTCCTTAATACTCCAAACCTTTGTGAGAGGGGTTTCAAGAAAATTTAAGACGGTGACATTTCAAATTTGCATTGTTTTGATTTTTTTTGCATGTATTAATACATAGTTTACAGCTGGTCAAAGTTTTAGAATCCATTTAATACCATTTCTACTCTGAAACTTCTTTCTGAGTTGCAAGGGAAAAGAAAAGTCCTTATGGTTTTTAATTACAGTATTCATAAACTATTGGCCTATCCTGATTATTCAAAAGTGACAGATTAGCCATGTCTTGTTTCTTTGTCTTTTGTGCTTTTTAATTCATAGGATCTTAGATAATAGTGCTAGAAGAGACCTCAGAGTCCATCTAGTTGAACTTTTTCATTTTACAGAGAAGTAAACTAGGGCCCAGAGAAATTGGAACTTGCCCAGGAGCACATAGGTAGTAAGTGCCTGAAGAGAAATTTGAATCCAGGTCTTCTGATTCAAATTTAACAGTCATTTCATTTTTACCTTATTTCATAGCTTCTTAGCATCTCCCCTAGCAGCCAGGAGAGAAAAAGGAGAGGGAAAATGAATCCATTTATTTTAACTATATAATTACTTCTAACTATACAATTAGTGGTGAAGGAGGTCAAATGGTATAGTATATGGAGAGCTGGTCTTGGAGTCAGGTAGATATGAGTTCACCGCCAGCCCCAAAACAAATTATCTTCTCAATGCCTGGGCAACTCTCAAGGAATACAGAGAATAACCAAACTGTATTGGGGAGAGTTTCTCATACTGATGAAATCATAGGTTCATACTCTCTCCCTTTTCCCACTCCAAAAAAGAAAGAAAGAAAATAGTAATTTTGAAAAAGATTGGAAAGGTAGAGAGAGTTTGTCACTATTTTTAACTAATAGGACCATTAAAATTTTTCTGTACCTTTAATCATCTATTCTTTCCTTGTCTTCCATTATCCTTAATAATAGAAAATTAACAGTCCCCCCCATATTCATTTCATTGTGAAATAATGACTCAAAACTAGTTTTTCAAAAGGGTTTTAGTCACGTTTTAAGCTGTGGCTACATTTGTGTTTACTTCATCATGATTTCTATGTGTTTCTGCCTTCTGTGCCCCCTAAATTTTGATTTGGGGTGAGTAGGAGTCAAGGAAAAGCTGAGAATGATTTAGTTTCAGGACTAATTTGGCAATTTAGATTGTGCTAGAAACATATCTTTTCTAAAAGAACCTCCATACTTGAAAAACTGATCCAAACTAGTGGAGTGTTTTTGTGCAATAAAGAACCTTCAGCTAGAATACGGTACCTTGTCACCTCCTTCCTCTCCCAATCTTAGATCGAACATTAATGTCCACATGCTTGAATCTGAGTAATAATAATGATAATAATGCTAACTCTCACTTCAATAGTGAGTTAAGATTTCCAAAGTACTCTACATGTATCATTGATTAAATTAATTTAATTTATCAAAGCTATCAATGTAGCAATAAGAAAATTATGTGGATAATCTTAGGCAGACTAATATCATTTCAAATGTTCATGACTTCTAGAAGCCATTGTAAATGGCAAGGTTTCAAGTGACAAATGATTTTCCCAAACACTTTCTTGAAAAATGTTGGTGAATCTTGGGTAGGGGCTGGAGGAGGCAGACTATATTTCTCTGTCTTGTAGTGAATGTCAGGGTAATCTATTGGAAAGGATAGCTTGGACAGAACTTTGTAATCTCTAGGATGAGACACATAATTTAATTATCTTCACTGATGTCGTGAATGGTTGTCTTTTAGCTGACCACTTTCCTTAATGGAGCAGGCCATGATGGCACAGGACTTAGGTCCCATGGATGAACTGCCTTCCTTAAGAACACAGATGGACTAGGTAGAAGCCACAACAATTTTAGGCATTTATCTTTCTAGAAAGAAAAAAGATACATATTATAATCTATGAATTTATAGCTTGAACTAATTCCAGAATTCTGAGACTAGGATCATAGAAAGTAACCAGTTCAGTTGGCAACCATGTAGTGAAAGAATACTATGAAACTAGGAATGACAAAAGTTTTGGCTCCAGTAATATTACGCATAAGCATATACTGTATATTTCTATAATTGTTGGTATTGCCTTTCTTCTTGAAAGCTGAAAGTACTTTAGGGCCGAATTTATAGACCTGACGTTGCAGAATAAACTTCTACAAATAAACTGAGCAAGCATTTTTTCCCCCTACAACTTGGTAGTTACTACCAGCAGTCATTGGTAGACTAGAAATGATATAAGGGGAAGGCAGAAGGGAATGTTCCATGGTTTGGATTTATACCAGGTCACTACTGCGTAATGTGATGGTGAAGTGTACAGAGAATGTACATGAACAGCTTTATGTGTCACCTTCAAAGAAAGAATTATCCTGGCTTTGCTCATAATTCAGTTTAATTTTATTATGCTTTGGGCTTTTATTCCAAAAAGGATATTTTTTCTTCTTTTTAGATAATGGAACTTGGACTCAGTTGTGGCTTGTATCCGAATACCATGAGCAAGGCTCTTTATATGACTATTTAAATAGAAATACAGTGACAGTGGATGGTATGGTCCGATTGGCACTTTCAGTAGCCAGTGGTCTGGCCCATCTACATATGGAGATAGTTGGAACACAAGGTATATTTTGCTCTTTGATTTTTTTTTTCCTGAAAGATATGAATGAAATAGGTGGCACTTTAAAAAAATGTCTTACCTCATCAAGCTCCATTGAATTAAGCATTGTTTAAGGCTATTAAATGAGCCTAAAGATACATTTTTTCCATGATGAAATCAGCTCTTAAGTATTCTTGAGGTTTCTCTACCTTTTATAATGTCCATAGCAAGTTATTAATTCCCGGTTGGCTCCTTCTGGCTGCTTTATATACTTTTTCCTTTGTAGTCAATTGTTTTATACACAGAATGTATAAATAATTTTAATACACTGAAGGATAATGTAACTAGGAGTGTAATTTGTGATGCTGAAAAAATAGTGTATTACAAAGCTAAATTACTATTATTATTTTTAATTATTATCTTGCTTTTTGGTGAGGCAATCAGGGTTAAGTAACTTGCCCACGGTCACATAGCTAGTAAGTGTCAAGTGTCTGGGGTCAGATTTGAACTCAGGTCCTCCTGACTCCAAGGCCAGAGCTCTATCCACTGCACCACCTAGCTGCCCCAAAGCTAAATAATTCCTACAGTCTCTCCACCCCCTAACACAGATATATGCAAGTTTAATGCACATGGAAAGGCTAGAGTCTGAGGAAAGAAGTTGTATGAGTTGAAAAGTTTTTATTGATCCTTTACTGTTAGTCTTTTGCTTAGTGTCTGCTGAGGACTGAATAGAATTTATGACTTTTGTATTAAAATATTTGCTATTTTCTCATGTGGAAATAACGATGGTAATTATTTTGTTCAGAGGATATTCTGTAAATAATTCTGAATTGATTATTCTTTTCTGATGTGGAAAAATACATTTATTTTTTTCTTTGTGCTTCATAGGCAAACCTGCAATTGCTCATCGAGATCTAAAATCAAAGAATATTTTAGTGAAAAAATGTGAAGCCTGTGCTATTGCAGACTTAGGACTAGCTGTGAAGCATGATTCAGTACTGAACACTATTGACATCCCTCAAAATCCCAGAGTGGGGACAAAGAGGTAGGGCAGATCCCGTAGAGGATCGGGATTTTTTTACCCATAATTAGGTACAATCTGACTATTGAACATCAAAGTTAAGATCACGTGCATCTGAATAACAGCTCAATGCAATGCCTTGTGAGTAGGAGATGAGACAGGGATTACCCCAAACCCTGAAGAGAAAGAAATTCACTCTAACCCACTATATTTCCTCCTGACTAGATGTGACTACCATCCTAGGATAGTATAGGGACTGGGTCTGTGATTTCATTAGTATAGGGAACTGCTGGGGAGGAAATTTCCCTTACTGATTCAGTTCAACATCTTCTCTGCAATTTATTAGCACAGTGAGTTGCCTAAGGCACATAGAGGTTAAAAGACCTGTCTAGGGTTACCCAGCTTGTATGTGTCTGAAGTGGGAATTAAATCTATGTCTTCCTGGCTTCAAGGTCAGTTCTCTAATGTCAATGCTACAGTGCCTGTCCATTGTATAATTAAGTCCATTTGTATATATAAGCACTCTAAATTATACATGTTTTAGTAATATAATATATCCTTAGATGTGATCACTGCTTTCAAGGAGTGCATAATCTCATTGACAGTAAAGGTAGCAAGAGAAATACAAACAAATCACCTACACACATTTATCTGGCTATGCCTTCTTAATGAAGGAATATTTAGTGTTCTGGACTATGTTTGATGACAGTACTCAAAAGATAAAGTCATCCTAGATTATCAGCTAGTTCCTTTTCCCCTCCTTTCCACTTCTAAGCTCTGTTCAATCATTGGTATTACTTTAGGGTCTTCTGTTTAATATTTCGAAATTAGAAGTACTCTAACAAAACATTTCCATGAGTTGTTAAAGGCCCTTCAAACTAAATACAATAGTTTGGCTTCTTATTGAACCTTTTGGGTGTCTTCAGAATCAAGCAACTTCGCCAGGTGAACTCCCGTGGGGTAGAAATTCATAATCCCCTAAGGGTGTTGTTGCACGTTTTCTTGGCTGCCAAAGGCTGTCATCTTCTTAGAGCTTCTAGATGGTGTATGTTGGTGGCATAGTAGAGTGTGTGGTGAGTTTGGGTTTGTGGATGAGGATGCTGTGTCTGCATAACTTTTATCTGTCATGTATTTATTGGGTCATTGGTTTGTATACTGGAACACTGAGTATACTCTGGTCCACCCAGCTGTAATTTGTACTACTAATGTTGAGTCAGTAACACATTATTTTGGTTTTTACAGAACTCTCTTAGATCCAACTTAGGTGTTATACTAACCTTCAGCCTTACTCAAACTCCCCATTCCTGTCAATTTCTAGTTATCCCATCTGGTGCTGCCAGCCTTTAGATGCAAGAGTGGTTTTGGTGCTTATTTGTTTAGTTCTACGTGTAAATGGGATACTGTGGCAATGACTTCTCCTGGCTTCTCTGCTTTCTACCCAGCACTGGCACTCACATACAGACAAGATCATTAAGAAACCTTCCATCAAAGAGAAAGAATAAAAGAATGCTAATTTAATTTTTTTCCATTTTTAATAATTATCAACAAAACAGCATAATTAAAAGTATTCATTACATTGACCACAATCTCTAAGATATTGGGAGTTTGCTAAAAAATATGGTAACTTTAACCAAAAATAATATTGTTTCCATGTCCCCTTTTGATGTCTTTTCCCCCAATTTTTATTTCTCATTTTGTTGCTATTACTATAGTTATAATTTTTTTTATTGTCATGACATTCTGTGCTTAGATTCTATTCTCTCTTAACTCCGCATTGCTTAATATCTGTTTTTTCCATATATACTCACATTCTTCATTTTGTCTTTTCTGTGGTATAATACTATATGCATGTATGTGCATATGCCAATTTGTTCACCCATTCCTCAGTCATTGGTCATATGGATTGCTTCTATCTTTTCTACTATTTAAAATAAAATAATTATTAATCCTTTATTCTAAGGAATCTTAAAAATTATTTTAATAATTCTTCTAGTGAGATCATTGAGTCAGAAACCCAGTCTCTGCTTGCTAGTATTTCCATGATCCAGTTTTCTCTTGAAATTAAATTGGACAATGTGATTCTGATTTATCTGGCTCAGAACTTGTCCTAAAAGCTTGAAGATATATAAAAATTTGTAGAACTCAAGAAGCCCCCTAGTCCTTAATGCCAACTCCAGTAAAGTCTTCTGGATTCTTTGATCAAAACCCTGAGGAATTACCCTTTCCCTTGAACCAAAACTCCTGTTCTAATCTCTAGGATTGGGTGAGTTTTCTAGAATGTGTCTGCAACACCAAAGCTACTTTGTTTTACTAATAACAATTACTTTTCCTAGTCCTCTCTGACCCTCTACCTGATTGGGAGATTCTGAGACTTGAATCATGGTGCTTAACTAGCAAATGCTAGTTTTAATTAATGGGTGCCCCCTTACCTCTTGTGGATTCTTAATAATTTATTGCAATATTTCTATTTTGTTTTCTGAAAAGATTATATTAGCTCACAACCACACTAGCATTTTACTGAACTTCTAGAAAGTGCATGTGTAGAATGTAAAATATATATTCCTTTCAAAGGTATATGGCTCCTGAGGTGCTTGATGATACAATGAACATGAATATTTTTGAATCCTTCAAACGTGCTGACATATATTCCCTTGGTCTGGTGTATTGGGAAATAGCACGGAGATGTTCAATTGGAGGTAATTATGTTTTACTTCTTAGGTCTTACGATATATTATTTCATAACTGCCTTTAAAATAAATTAGGGCAGCTGGGTGGTGAAGTGGATAGAGCACTGGTTTTGGAATCAGGGTGACTTGTCTTCCTGAGTTCAAATCTGGTGTCAGATATTTACTAGCTGTGTGACCCTGGCCAAGTCACTTAACCCTATTTGCCTTAGTTCCTCATCTGTAAAAATGAATTGGAGAAAGAAATGGCAAACCACTCCAGTGGTTTCTTTGCCAAGAAAACCCCAAATGGAGTTGTGGATAATTGGCATGACTGAAACAACTGACCAACAACAAAAAGTTAAGAGAATTTTATGATTTAAAAAATTTTTCCCCTGGCACATTGAACTGATGCTACCCACTGAACAAAATATCCTTTGACAACATATTGCTAATTCAGTACAATTCAAGAAACATTAAGCACCTATTTTTTTAGCATGATATACTATGTACTCAATGAGATAAGTGTTGACATAAGATATAGCTCCTGCTATTATAGAGATTACAGGCAAAGGAATATAACATATACCAATAACTGTAGTACACAATAATACATAAATATATCTTGAAGGTTTTTGTTTATTTCCATATATAAAGGAAATATTAGCTTGACAACCCTTCCTGGACACTGGCATGCTGTCCTCTACCCATACACTTCCATTCCTTTGCTCACTTACATAGAAGTAAAGTCAGTAAGGAAACGCATTAAAAAAATAATAAAAAGTATCATTTTTAAAAGATTATAAACTTAAAATAAAAATGATCATCAAAAGTATTGGAAGGACCATAAATAACTTATAGCAGAAGATGGTAAAGCTTATCCAAATAATGAACTCTGAAACAGAAATTAGTGACTCTGTGAGACATCAAAAAATTAGTATGATATCTAAAGAAGAAAAAAAAGAAGAAAATGTGAGCTATACTTAATATAAAAACAACTGCAAAGGAAAACCTAGATACTATATTTTAAGAAATCATAAATGAAAACTGCCTAGATCTCTTAGAATCAAAGGGCAAAATAAAGATAAAAAGAATCTACTGATCACCTCTTGAAAGAGACCCAAAAAGCAATAGTCTCAGCAATGTCTTAGCCAAAATCCAGTTTCCTTGCCCAGTAAAAACAAAACAAAACTCTGCAACCATTCTGAAAGAAGTTCAAGTACCAAGTTAGGATCACGTGAGACCTGGAAACTTCTAACACAAATGAGAGATCTTCCTTACAATATTCCCAGAGGTGAAAGACATAGCCAAGAATTATTTACCCTACAAAGCTGAATATACTACTATGGGGGGGCACTTTCAAGCATCCCTGATGAAGAGACCAAGAACTTTCAGTGTCAATATTTATTAAGTACCTACTGTGTGTCAGGCATTGTGCTAAGTGTTAGGATACAAAAAAAGGGCTCCCTGCCCTCAAGGAGCTTACAATTTAATAAGGGAGGTCACAAGCAAATAAATATGTGCAAACTATACACAGGAAATATAGGGAATAAATAAGAAAGGGAAGACACTAGAAATAAGAGGGATTGGAAAGGCTTCCTGTAGAAGAAAGAATTGTAGTTGAGACTTAACTAGGAAAGCCAGTATGCAGAGATGAAGAGGGAGAGAATCTGGAATGAAGAGTATGTGTTTGAGGGTAAGGTGTAAGAAGACCGAAAAGTTAGGAGAGTACTAGGTTATAAAGGGGTTTGAATGATGAACAGAGGATTTTGTATTTGATCCTGGAGGTGCTAAGGAGTCACAAAAATTTATTGAGTAGGAGAGTAACATGATCAGACCTGTGCTTTAGGAAAGTCACTTTGGTAGTTTAATGGAGGATGGACTAGAGTGGGGATAGACTTGAGGCAGGCAGACCTACCAGAAAGCTATTACAATAATGCAGGCATGAGGTGCTTCGGGCATGCACCAGAGTGGTGAAAGTGTCAGAGGAGAGAAGGGGTGCATTTTTGAGAGATGTTGTGGAGGTGAAATCAATAGGTCTTGGCAACAGATTGGTTATGAGGGTGAGATTGAGGAGTTGAGGATGACGCTAGGTCGAGAATCTGAGAAACTAGGAATAGGATGTTGCCCTCTACAGTAAAAGGGAAGGTAGGAGGGAATTTGTTGGAGGAGATGGGGAGAATGAGATCATTTGAGTAGGTAGAGGGGCTTGCCTTGGTAAGGAGTAAGGTATGTATGAAGGAGGAGTGGTAGAAGGCATATGAGTGATATGAGATGAGGAAGAGGGTCTTAGCAAATAGTATCTTTTTTTTCTGTAAAATATGCAGAGTTCTTAGTTGAATGGATTGGGGTAGGGAGAGCCATGATAGATTTGAGGAGGGATGAAAAAGTTTAGAAGAGCCATTGTGGAGAGTGAGATAGTAAGTTGCTGAGGGAGATACAATGGGATTACATAGCAGCAGTAATAGCTCAGTTGAGACTGTGTAACATCAATTTGTAGTGGACCCAGTCAGAATGCTTGTGATTTTCTACACCTTCATTCAGCAGCGTGTGTGTAGGAGCTAAGGCAATGGGTAGTGGGAGTAATCCAAGGCTGAAGCTTGGTGGGAAAAAATCAGTGAAATTGTAAGGGGGGCTAGGAACTTCAATAGAAGAAGATAGTGTAATAAACTTCCAATGAATCAAAAGAAACTTAGAAAGGTAAATTTATTTGAAGATTGGGAAGGGCTGAAGGTAATGTAGTACTTACATTCTAATAAGGAAAGAAGAAAAAAATGTCCTTTTAGAAACTTAATGGTTTCAAAGGTTGTTTGAGGGATTTAAATAAGAAAAATAGAAGATCTGAGGGTGGATTGGTTCTATTCTGAGGGTTTTTGGAGGGGAAAGAGAAATGATGGTAAAAACAAACACATAGTATAGAAAGGAGCAAGAAGGTGTGTATATGGGGAGTGGGTGGAACTTATTTTTTCATAATTAGAGTTAGTGAGAAGAAGAGCATACAAATATGAAAGAAGAGGCAGGGAAGAGTGCTCAATCAATGCTCCTCATTCTTATTAGAATAAAGCAAAGGAGAACTGAACATACACAATCAAGAGAGTGGAGACAGGAAAAAATAAAAAAAAGAGGTTGTCCATCATTTGGTGAATTGCTGAATAAACTGTGGTTTTTGGATGTAGTGGGATATTATTATGCAGTAAGAAATGATGAAAAAGACAATTTCAGAGAATCCTGAGTAGCATGAACTGATGCAGAGTACAGTGAGCAGACCCAGGAGAACAATTTATAAAAGGACAACTCTGAAAGACTTGAGAACTCTGATCAATGTATTGACCAACCAATGATGACCAACCTCCTGCTGACAGAGGTGATAGTGCAGAAAAAGACATACATTTTTGGGTGTCCTTAGTAGGTGGATTTATTTTTCTTGACTATGATTGTTATAGTTTTCTTTTCCTTTCCACTTTTTTTTTTAATTGAGGGAGAGGATTGGAGGTGGATTAGCAATAGCGGTGTCAAAAAGAGATGACCATTGAAACTTTTTTTTTAATGCACAGGAGTAAAAACAGACAAGTAAGACAATTTTTACAGTATTATGTTGAATTTATTATATTTTTTTAAGAATAGCAAAGAGTACAAACTGAAGGCTTATGGTTTAATATACAATGTATTTCAAGTGTTCTACTGTGTAACTGTGAATGCTCTTTTCTGATGTTTAAGTTCAGAATAAGAGTTAATTTAAAAAAGAATCACTAAAAGGATATGTTTAGTTTGATGGGGTGGTGTAGTTGTCTTCTATCATCTGGACACCAGAAACAATCAGATTGTCCACAGTTTCTTTAGGCAAAAGAACTAATTTATTGTGGTACATGCATAATTCACTGAAGGATTAATGTAATTATAACAAATTCTGTAACTGAGGGATCATTCATCATTTCTGAAGTACATTTTACTGAAATAAAGATTTTATTTTCAATTGTGTTAAAAACAGTTATCTTTATTGAGATATTGCAAATGTTGTGAATCTTTGTGATTCATGATTTGTTAAGTCTTCCCTAGTTTACTACGATGGTATAAAAGTTAAGAAGATACTTTTAGATAATCTTAAAAAACCTACCTTTATATGTCATTCAAATGAGAATCACAATTTATTCTTTGAATTTCTCATAGGAATCACTGAAGAGTACCAATTGCCTTTCTATGACATGGTACCTTCAGATCCCTCAATAGAGGACATGAGGAAAGTTGTTTGTGAACAGAAATATAGACCAAATATACCAAACCAGTGGCAAAGTTGTGAGGTAAGTCTATCATCATCATCATCATCATCATCATCATCATCATCATCATCTATTATTACTTTGCTTTGCAAATATTAAAATCAAAATTGGTCCAGAAGGGATTTTCAATACCTATGACTCATGGCTAGAATCACTACTCAGAATAATTGGTATCTATCATGTTGTAGTTCCTTTTGTCTACTCATATTTGATCTATTTCTTCCCTTTGTATCTAACCTGAGTCCCTTAATTCCTTTGGTTCTACTTCCAGTGGAAGTAGCAAGTATTCTTAGTGATTCTCGAAGAAGAGAAAAGGATAATCCACAAACTGCTTATCCTTTAATAATTCAGAGCTAATTGTTTCTTTCTGGATTTGGAGCTGCCCCAATTTGGAATAATAGATTTTGAATGGAAAGGGACCTTAGAGGCCATTGAGTTCAATACCTTTATTTTACGGATGAGGAAAATGAAGCCCAGAGAGATTAGCATTTTTTCTCAGGATCATATAGCTATTAAATGTCTGAGGAATGATTTCAACTTGGGTCTTCCTGCCTTGAAGCCCATCACTGTATTCACTATACCATCTATCCACCTACTACAACTGCTACTATGGCTACAATACATCTCCATAATGGCTTATTTTATAGCAATTATTTTATGTGGCTGAATGTTTGAGTCTCTTTTTAAAGCTCACTTTTTTCCCCATCTTTATGTTTCCCTTATTTCTTGATCTTAAACATTTTACCTGAACTGCTGTATGTGAACCTCAACCTGACTTGCTCATCAAATAGTTGAAAAGTGGAACTCCATGAGTTTCCAGTCCAGAAATTTGAATTTTAAATGAGTTCATTTTTCTGTGGATAAAAACTATGTGTGTAGGTGGAATTATTTTTTGCTTTTGGGTGCATGATTTAATTTTAATTTAACTCCAATTATAGTCCCATGTTTACTGTTTGTTCATCACAGCTTGATTTCAGTTCATTGGTTTTACTGCTCAGCTTTTTTCGTTTTCTGCTGCTAGCCAAAATAATAATAATACTATAAAATTTTCTTCTTTTCAAGGCCCTCCGAGTAATGGGTAGAATAATGAGGGAGTGTTGGTATGCAAATGGGGCTGCTCGCTTGACAGCTCTGCGTATTAAGAAGACCATTTCTCAACTTTGTGTAAAAGAAGACTCCAAAGTATAAGTGATATTTGGCGTTAAAAAGGAATCTTTTTAAAAATTATGAATTTTTTTTGTTGTGTTGTTTTTCCTTTGCTCTACCTCAAAGATATACAGTACAGTATTTAGATGCCCAAAGCACAACCCTGAAACCCTACTTTAAAGCTGAGTGCTGGCAGGGCAACTTCTGGCTGATCTTGTCTTCATGCTGTCTTTTATTTTTTAATTTTTTAATTTTTTAATTTTTTGGCAAGGCAATGGGGTTAAGTGACTTGCCCAGGGTCACACAGCTATTAAGTGTTAGGTGTCTGAGGCTGGATTTGAACTCGGGTGCTCCTGAATCCAGGGCCAGTGCTCTGTCCACAATGCCACCTAGCTGCTCCTTTTATTTTGAATAGTAGCTCACCACCTACTTTTTTTTCCTTAAAGAAAGTTATTAAGAAAACAGTTTAAAAAAATGAGCTAAGAAGAAATGTGACACATAAAATGTATTTTATTCATTTTTTTCCACTTGAAACAAATACAGATGAATCAAAACATTTTAAAATAGGCATTTTATTCTAAGGCAAAATATATGAAGGACCAAATTTTTCCTTCAATTTTCCATGTTTTTTCCCTTATAAGCAGAATAAATTTGTAAAGTTACAGTATTCACAACTTAATTACAAAATAAGGAAGAATGAGCTCTAGGTAATAGGCCTAGGTGAACCTTCAGATTTATCCATTTGACATTTTCTTCATAAAACATCAATCACTCCATTTATTATCTTAGCAGTATTACTCTCTTAGTTTTCAGTTATTCATAGTTCCCTCTCTCTCTCTTTTTCTCTCTGTGCCTTTATTCAGTCATAAATTTGCCATCAGTAGGAATTTCCAAAATGGAAGTGAAGGACTAGTTTTTATCTGTTTTTGTCCAGTTCGAAATGAGAAGAAAAAAGAAGTGAAAGGAGAAAGAGGGAAAATGATGGTTGCTTTGGGCCAAGCCATATGGAAGCTAATTTTATGATCCTACAGGGTAACATAAGAAACATCTTTGTTTAATAGTTATTGTAAATACATACTCACCTTCTTTTCCAGAACAAATATCTCTCTTTTATGAGTAAGGAAAAAAAAATCTGATTTTAATAATTTATGTTTTTTGTCTACCTCCATTGGAGAAGTCAAATACTCAAATGGATCTGTGATGTCATCAATTTGGTAGTTACCTCCAACCGTGCAGAATGAATATTATCTATGCCATTCTGTTCTGTGCAACTCTTGTTCATGTCCTCATAAAAATTTGCCATAAGGGGTCCACCCAACATGAAGGAGATCTTCCTCTCTTTATCTTGACAATGGGTTGGTGGTACCAGTGGAGAACTCTGGCTGTCCACCTGTCATCCTTCACTCTTGTCATTTGGACAGCCCATCTTCTCTTTCTGTCATACAAGTCCTTGGATAATGTTTATTGGTCTTGTTTTTTTCTTCAGAGAATGTTTGTTGGTTCCATGTTGCAGCCTGCTTAACACACCATGAACCTTTCCATTGCACTCGATGTGATATTCATCTTTAGGTCTTTAGAGGCAGTGGTATTCTATGTCTTGTCATATATTAACACTGGTAAAATGCTAGAAGTATACTGGCTGGCTTTTGCTTTTATGGGAAGCTTGAGTTCAGTAAAGGCACTCTGTAATTTCCTGAAATCAATCCAGTTCATTCTCCTCTTCCCTTCCAATTCTGGGCCCAGCTCATTGTTCCTCTATGCTGTCTGTCCTATTTGTACATATGACTGGACAAGTTTACAGGGTGTCCATCCAAATGCATATTGAAATCTAGTCAATAGACATTCTTTATCCATTTGGTCTTTCTTATTTGGATAGATAGGCCAAACTTCTTTGGGTGATTACATATCTCTTCTAGTCCAGAAGGGAAAGTAAGGCTAGATAAAAACAAATTACTTGGGCTTTATTTGGTACAGATTTATAAATCTATTTTAATGTTACCCTTGAGTAATCTAAAAATAACTCCATCTCATCTACCATTGAAACAGTTTGAGATTGCTCTCAGTCTTCTAATGCAAATATATTACTTCATTCAGTTTTGCCACCATACCTCTGTTGTTGTTATTGGGACTGGGTGAGGGAAAGAAAAAATCTGCTTAATCTTGCACACTCTTTCCATAATGGGCCCAAATAATAGAAGTTGCTTAAGTGATTTTTCTAAAACTAGCTTTAAGAGGAAAAAAATAGAACATGGTATAATCTATACTAAAAGCAAAGAAATAAGTATTCTCTGTCTGAGAAACCTAAAGCTACATCTCTAATAGCATTTAAGAAATATACCATTTTTTTTATACGGTTATGGTTATTTTAGTCTTTCAATTCATTTCAAAGGTGGATTATTGTAAGATTATACACATGTACATTAGTAATGTGGATATATGACAACTCAACAGATTTGGAAACGTGGCATTATTTGGCTTATGCTAGGGAATCCCACTTGTTCTTAAGACGGATTCCCTTATATTGGCTAAATGTGCTATTTAATTTATTTAAAGTACACTGGCTATATAGACTCTTAAGTTTTAAAAGCACACATAGATATTGTATATCAGTATCTTTCATGTTTTACCTGTAGACATCTTCAAGTATATAATACAGATATTATTTCTGGAAAACTATTTGAATGTTTTTCCACTTTGTTGTTTCCATCAGAGATCTCTATTTTGGTATGCTATTCTCGCCTATGAAAGAGCATCCAATTTTACGGAAAAAAATTCATAAAAGAAATAAGAAGAGTCATTTAAAGGGAAAATGGTGATGAAAGGCAGAGTTAAAGGTTATAAAGTTCTCTGTACCTCCTGATGTACTTCTCTATGACAAGTGCTCTCTGAAGGAAATAGGATAATGCTGAGAGCATTTGTCGTCTATGCTCAGCATCCCTTCCATGCTACATACACCTCTAACTTTCTTTTAATAGAGCTCTTGTATATGAGAGAGATTTGTGCCTCTTTCAATTCCTTTGCAAATTTTAAGCATCAGGGCACCATACTTAGTTCTAATTTTTTTTCTCTTCCATACAATGAAAAACTGAAGGAAAATGCTATTGAGTGAAGTGCAGTATAAATGTTTATGGCATTTATGCTAGAACATTGCTGAAAAACATCATTTCTTGTCAATATTTCAGCAGCAGCCTCTTTTTACTTATGAACTGTAATTGGTTTGTAGTTGCTTCATAGTCGATTTCATCCCCATTTTTCTGTGTTCAAAATATTCTACTTGGCATGGCATAGTCAGAATTTGTCATTTATACCCTGACTTGAAAGTAAATTGGAGCACAGTGCTTCATTGCTATTTTAGTGATAGCATTTGCTTTGATACTTTTCTGTATAATACTTTAAAATCAACTTATATTTAAAAATTGAATGATTGTGTGAAAATACATTTTTAGTTTTATTTTTTGTCTCTAAAGTAGAATTTAGAACCAGGTTTTACTTGCAGATATCAATGGATTTGTGAGGTTAAAGGGTCTATGAAAACTCAGATTCTTTTTACTACTTTTACTATCATTATGATTAATACTGTAGTATATATAGTTTGACCATAATATTCTGTGTATCAGATCTTCTTTGGGTCCTTTCCAAGAGAATTTAGTCACCTAAAGTACCTAAGCAATGGATCTGGTTCCTGAGTTCAAATTCCACCCCTGATCTTGGGGAGTCGCTTAAATTTTCTTATCTGTAAAAGGAGAAGGCCAGCCTCGATGGACAGTAATGTTTCTTCCATCTCTAAAATTATGATCCTACCCAGGGGAATATGGGAATCTCATTATCTAATGTGGGTTTATGTGTAACACAATCCTGAAGCAACCTCAGTGTCATCATCCTTAACTTCTCATTCATACTCACCACAAATATACAGTTAGTTGACTGGTCTTGTCATCCCCATAATATCTCTCCTTTCTTCTCATAAACCCAGCTCACTCATTCATTCCCATACCATCTTTCACCTAGACTTGTAATCATTTTCTAATTCTACTCTTTGCCAAGAGTCTTCTAAATGGTGTTTCTGTCTCAAGTTTCTCTCTTCTTCAGTCCATCCTCCACAAGCAGCTTAAGTGACTTTTCTAAAGCATAAGTCTGATTGTGTCACTGTTTACTCTATAGACTCCAGTAGCTCCATATTACTTCCAATATCAAATATCTCCTCCCTTGTTTGGCATTTAAAGCTCTTCCCAACCCAGCCCCTTATTTCCTTCCAGTCTTTTAACATATTGTATTGCCCGATATATTCTCTGCCGTCCAACTGTACTGATCTACTAACTGTTCTTCATGCAGAAAACTCCATCTTCTGCTTCCATTACTTGACATTGGCTGTCCCTTGTATCTGGAATGTTCTCCCTTCTAACCTTCAGCTCTCAGAATTCCCGTTTTCCTTAAAGGCTCAGCTCACATGCTACTTTATTTAGGAGACCTTTCTCGTCCTCTCCAATTTAGTGCCTTTACCTCTAGTTGCCTTTCACATCTATATATCTTACTTACATACATTTTATCTCTCTTTTTAGAATGTAAGCTTCTTGAGGGTAGGTACTGTTTTTACTTTTTATTTGTATTCCTTAGCACAGTACTTGGTCCAGTTGTTGTTGTAGTTCTTTCTTTTCAGATGTGTCCAATTCTTTGTGACCCCGTTTGGGTCAAAGATACTGGAGTAGTTTTCCATTTCCTTCTCCAGCTTATTTTTTACAGATAAGGAAACTGAGGCAAACAGAGCTAAATGACTTGCCCAGAGTCATACAACCAGTAAGAGTCTGAGACCAGATTTAAACTCAGGTCTCCTTGACTTCAGGCCCTACTTTCTTTTCACTGTGCCACTCAGCTGCCCACTTGGTACACTTAATTAATGTTTATTGATTTGTTGATTGATTAAGGCATATACCTCTAAACCTGGCCTGATATTAAGATTTTAGGATATAAAACTGAAATTGTTAACTAAATTTCTTAAAATTAAGTTCTCTTCAGAAGAAAATATAGCATCTCTGACATTGGCAAGAAATAAGAAGAACAAGAAATGAATTAAAATTAACAGTTGGCATTAAATTACATAAAGAAATTCACCATTATTATTATATTAAAACATTCATGTGCCAGGTGTCTAAAGTGGCATAAATGTTGTTTTTCTTAGGATAGTCCTATAAGACTGTCCTATTTTGAGATGACTCCTTCAATGTTTTGATCATTGTTAATGTTCTAGAAAAGGAGAGTACAATCCAATATACT